CCTGACTCTTAAAGGGGCCGCTCCGGCCGCGGGGGTCTCAGCCGACCGACAAGGCCGGCCAGCTCGTGATCTGTCGCCCGCGTGGGCTTCTGCAATCCGCTTCGAATCTCACTCAGGGACCTAGATGCACGCTGAAACCCGCCGTCATAGCCAACTGACGGGATCTCTCCTGCTAACCATACATGCTCTCAAACCAGTAACACCGGCATCTCTGGGGAGTTGTGCAAAATGAAAGTTGGAGGCCGCAACCCAAATTTAGGGACTCAGAGGTTCTGGGAGGAGGGAAGCGGGGTGCAGTTGGGACTCAGACTTCAGGGCTCTCACAAGCCCTTGGGGGACTCCAGGGCTGCTCCAGAGGGGGAACAGGGATTCCATCAGTACAGTGGGAAGCCTCACACCGCACACCTCCTGGGGTGACAGGCCAGCTAGCAGGCGCGAAGTCCCTGCTCACCCCGTGCAAGCTGTTGTCGTCAGCACCATCCCACAGCTCTCACAAGCACTGCTGAGGAAGGGTCAGCTGGGACACTCACTGGTCCGAGTGTGAAACCCAGGGGCTGGGGCTGGGCTGCACTTGTGAGGTGCAGCAAGTAGGCTCTTAGTGAAAGCACGTGGCGGTACCATTTGGCGCCTTTTTTCTTCATGATTTTTTTTGTATGTAACCTGCGGCTGTTTTGTATTTTATTCTATTTTTTAAAAATGAAAGCAGGCAATTGATTTGAAGGTGGGGAAAGGAGAGAGAGCGTGAGAGAGCACTACTCTGGGAAAATAGGGAGTATTCGAAATGGAAATGCTCCTGCTTTTATTTTAAATATATTGAGGAATAAAATTATATCTGTTAGTCATGTAGAATGTGTTGGTTTGAAATACACGCACCCTGTGGAATGGCTAAATCAAGCTGGCAGGCATCACCTCACAGAAACAGGGCTGTCTGGCTTTGCGCCATCTCTCTGCATTTTGCTGGATACCAATAAAGACTAGCAGGAAAAGGGGCCTCTGCCATCCCATGGGCAAAGGGACTTCCTCACGGAGGTCTGAGAAAGGGCCAGTATTGCCTGGGCCTCACCTGACGTCTCCTCAGCCATCCTCATGTCCTGTTGGCTCCACCTCCTCACATGTCCCTGGATGTCCCCTTCCCACCACCTCCAGCACCCCCAGTCTGGGCCAAATCACCATCAGCACACTCCTGGACCACGCGGTGGACTCTTCCAGTGTCCCCACATCAATTCTGGTGTCCTCTGCAGAGGATCCAGAGTGAGATTTCATCACATTATGTCATTGTTTGGTTAAAACCCTCTTATTTTCTCAGTAAAGTTGAGATAAATCTAAGCTGCCTGTTGTAGTGATCTAATCTGGCCCTGCCCTCCTCTCTCCTCTCCTTTCCAGCCATCCTGGTGTTCACACAGGTCCTGCAGCTGGCTGAGTCTTTGCCTGTGTCTCCATCCTGGCACACACTATTCCCTGTGCTGGGTGTTTCCCCCTTCACTACTGCATCCTGCAGTAGTCTGCACTGAAGCATCTCACTTTACTATCTGCTCAGCTGCCTCTAATGTTCAGTTGAATTTTGATTTTCCCACTTGTCTTTGTCCATGCTTTTTTGTGTTGTTTTAAAAAACAACCCCCAGGCTGTATGCTTTATAAAGAAAATAAACTTATTTGCTGCAAAATGTCTGTGGCTGAGAATTTCAAGAAGCATGGGAGTAGCTGGGGAACAACATGGCAAAGAAGCTGAAAGGGAAGAGGTCGTATGATGAACACGTGGCATGGCCTGACTTTCTAACAATCCATGCCCTCAAGAACTAGGTAATTCTCTCCTGTGAGAGTTGATCCACTCCACCACATTACCATCAATCACCCTCCACTAGGTCTTACCTCTTAAAGGTCTACTTGTCGTTACCTTGGAGACAAAGTTTTCAGCACGAGAAGCTGTGCAGAACAAGCCGTCTCCAAACCATAGCTCGTTTTACACACAAGAACACTGAATTCCTGGGCGTGGGATTTAGTTCAGTGGTCCTGTGTCTGCTTCACAAGTGCAAGGTCCTGAGTTTAATCCCTAGTACCCGCCCCCCTCAAAAAGAGAGAGAATACTGAAGTCCTGAAAAAAGGGGATAGACAAAGTCATCCAGGTGGTAACAGTCACAATCCAGCTGGAATATCAAACTATCCCCATAGTAGAAGCTCTTTCCCATGATGTATTCTCCCCACCCCTCCAAACTCCTAGCTACCCTCCTGTGCCCAAGTTTCCATTCTCCTTTTCTTAGTTTTGTTGATTTTCTGTATTGTTTTTCTTTTCTCTACCTCTGCTCTAATCATTTTCTAAATTTCCTTTCATCTGCTAGCTTTGGGTTTGGTTTGTTCTTTTCTTACTAGCTCCTTAAGTTGTAAAGTTAGATGTTTGCTTTGAGACCTTTTTTATTTTTATTTTTTTCTCATTGAGTTTATTGGTACATTTTAGGTATACAGTAAAGTTACGTTCATCATTGGGATCTTGTACCTTTACATGACAGGTCTTGATTCTCATTTTTTCCCCTTGTCCCTGCCCTCCCTACACCCCCTCCTTCCCTCCCCATTTACACACACTTTATTTCCATTTTTTCATTTTCTCATATTTTTTTCTTTTCCCTTATCACCTTTCCCCTACCCTTCCCACTTACTCTTACACCTTTAGCCCTTTTCTTCCTATTTCACATTGTCAATTATCTCATTAGGATGAGACCTTTTTTAAAATGTAAGCTTTATAGTAAAATTTCCCTCTTTCTTTTTTTTTGTTTTGTTTTGTTTTGTTTTGTGTTTTGAGACAGGGTCTCACTATGTAGTTGAGACTGACCTGGAACTCACTATGCAGCCCAGGCTGATCTCGAACTCATAGTGCTCCTCCTGCCTCAGCCTCCCGAGTGCTGGGATTGCATTCGTCTGCCACCACGCCCTGCTAAAATTTCCCTCTTAGTGCTGCTTTCACTTTATCTAATAAATTTCAGTATGTTGTGGTTTAATTTTCTTACATCTCTAAGTACTACAACTCCTTTTGTGATTTTGTTATGGTTAATAGCTTGATATACCCCCCAAGAGTCTCCTGGGCTCAGAGGCAGGGCTTTGGGAAGGCGATTGCACGACAAGGGTGTGATAGCTAACTTCCTGTTCAGAAGTGGGGCCCAGCTGGCTGGATGCAACTCCTACCTTCCTCTGCTTCCTGGACACCATGATGTGAGCTTTCCTCTCTCCAGGGCCTTTCATCACGTGGTTTCTGTTTGAGGCTGCTGAACATGGACTGACACTTCCAAAATGTGAGCCCAAATACATTTCTCCTTTAATTTGTTGGTGCTGAGTATTGACTCCTACCAATGATGAAAGTGACTAAGACAGATTTCTTCTTTGATACATTGAATGTTTAAGAGTGTATTGTTTAATTTTCATAAACTTGTGGATTTTTCAGCTTGGATTTTTGTTGTTGACTTGACACTTTATCCTTTTATAGTCAGGGAAGATACTTTGTATGATATTTATCTTTCAGAAATCTGTCCTGCCTTTATTTGTGGTCTGTCCTGGGGAATGTCTGAGGTACACTTAAAAAATGATATGTACTATATTCTGTTGTTTTGGAGGTAGAGAGGTTTATATATTTCTCCTAGATCTATTGGTTTGTGCATTGTTCACGTCTCTTATCTTCTTTATTGATCTAATTGTTTGATCTTATTTTATTTTATTCATACCAGGGATCAAACTCAGGTCACTGCACTTGCAAAGCAGGTGGCAGAACCACTGAGCTAAATCCCCAGCCCCTAATTGTTTTATCTCTTATCAACAGTAGATATGGAAATATCAAGCTATTATTGTAGAACTATTTTCCTCCAATTTTGCCTATTTTTCCCTCATAAATTTTGATAGTCCATTTTGTGTTGCTATTATACAATGTCCGAGTCTCAGCGTTTGTTTATTTATTTAACAGGTTTATTTATTTATTCAACAGTTCTGGAGACTCAAGAACATTGTGTTGGCATTTTCTTGCTCTGGTGATATCCTTCTGGCTGTATGAAACATCGTGGATGGGTGTCATGGCAGGAGCACCTGAAGAGGGAAAGGTCACATGACAAGACAGGAAAAGAGAAAGACATAAAGAGAGACCCTGTGGGGGGGTGTGAGACAGAAAGAGTGAGCAGAGAATGCTGAACTTGTCTTATTACATCCTTTTCTTGTGAAAACCAATGCACATCGTGAGAGGAGCATTACTCCCTTCCAAGGTCAGTGCCTCTGTGACCTATGGGTAATCACCTTCCACTAGGTCCTGTCTCACCTCCACCATCCTGGAGACCAAGCCTCTAGCACATGAACCTTTGAGAGACACTCACAAGCCTTATATGAACCATAACAGTGTATACATATTTATAACTGTTAAAATTCTTGGTGTGTTCAGCTTTTCCTTCATATGTAATGTCCTTTGTATCTTGGACATTTTGGCTGAAGTCTACCTTGTCTGATACTAGTATAAGCACCTATGCTGGTTCTATATTTGGTTATTGTGAAGTGTGCACCAACAAATATGAGTACACACGTAGCCCTAAAGTATGCTGACTTTAATTCCTTTGGGTGGATCAAAGGAGAGCTGGATCAAAGGAGAGCTCTATTTCTAGTTTTTTTAAGAACATCCATACTGATTTCCACAGTGCTAGTACAAATTTACAGTTCTACCATCAGTGTAGACGGGTTCCTTTTTCCTTACACCCACACCGTATGTGTAGAAAGAGCATGTGCCGGAATGGAGAGACAGGCAAGAACTTAGTCTGCTGCACAGTCCCTGTGAATGGCAGTGTAGCTGGAAGTGGTAAAGTGAAGACCAGGGCCAGATTCAAAATTCTTTGTAGATCCTGATGAGCAATTTAGATTTAGCCCAACTCTGCTGAGAGGCCAAAGAGGGGTTCTTAGTCACTTTTCTCCTTCTCGGGACGAAAGAGCTAACACCTGTGACTTAATGAAGGCAAAGTTTATTTTGGCTCACATTTCAGTCCCTGGTTGGCTGGCTCCAAGCAGGAAAGCAGGGCAGACGGGAAGCAGAGGGAGACCAAGGAGGAGCGGGAAGGGAGAGAGACCCTTCCAGGCCAGGCCTGCAGTGATTTGCCTCTTCCACCAGACCCCACCTCCCAACAGCACGTCAGCTCTCAGCCCCCATAATGCAAACATCTTCCAAAAGCCAGGTCTGTGAAAGCTCGAGAATGTTTAACGGAGGGATTTGTAAGACTTAAAGTCTCACTTCCACTCCACAGAGCATGAACAGCCAAAAAGGCCTCCACGATGCTGGGCCCTAACACCCAGCGAGGTTCCGGGTGCTCGACGGAGAAACGAGAAACCCAGGAAGAAACACACCAGGCTAGATGGTAAATAGACCTTTATTAGTCTGGCCAGATGGCACTCCCCGAGCCAGGTAGCTCAGAGAGGCAACTGCTCAGGGGCTGAGGTACTTTTTATAAGGTTTTTCTAAACAAAGAGTCAGGGAATTCACAGAACAAGACTGCAAACTCACTGCTTATCTTATGTAGGAAATGTTCTAGGGTCACCTTTTGTCAAACCATTTGCCCCTGGGCCGGCTGTTAACCAAGGTAGCAATTAGCATATGAAGAAGCACAGTCTGGCCTATTAGCATGGAGTCACTTTAGCTTATTCAAGTCTTACAGGTTTAATCAAACAGCGAAATAGGGCAATGACGTCTTACTCTGGATGCTCTGCAGAATTGATGTGGGCGTCACAGAAAGTCCCCCGCATAATCCAGGAGAGTGTGGATAGGGAACTGGCACTGCAGGTGGTGAGGAGGGGGCACCCAGGAACCTGTGAGGAACTGGAGCTTGATTCAGCCATTCCAGAATGTGTGTATTTCAAACTGTCACGTTGTACATGATGCATAGATATAATTTTATTCTTCAGTGTATTTAAAATTAAAAATAACTGCAGGTTATAGAAAAAAAAGAGAAAAAAGAAGGAAAGCAAAATAAAGAAGAAAAAAGGCGCCAAATGGTACCACCGCGTACTTTCACTAAGAGCCTACTTGCTGCACCTCACAAGTGCAGCCCAGCCCCAGCCTCTGGGTTTCACACTCCGACCAGTGAGTGTCCCAGCTGACCCTTCCTCAGCAGTGCTTGTGAGAGCTGTGGGATGGTGCTGACGACAACAGCTTGCACGGGGTGAGCAGGGACTTCGCGCCTGCTAGCTGGCCTGTCACCCCAGGAGGTGTGCGGTGTGAGGCTTCCCACTGTACTGATGGAATCCCTGTTCCCCCTCTGGAGCAGCCCTGGAGTCCCCCAAGGGCTTGTGAGAGCCCTGAAGTCTGAGTCCCAACTGCACCCCGCTTCCCTCCCCACAGAACCTCTGAGTCCCTAAGTTTGGGCTGCGGCCTCCAATTTTCATTTTGCACAACCCCCAGCGATGCCGGTGTTACTGGTTTGAGAAGCGCAGAACGACAGCATGTATGGTTAGCAGGCAGAGATCCCGTCAGTTGGCTATGACGGCGGGTTTCAGCCTGCATCTAGGTCCCTGAGTGAGAGGCGAACGACTCGCCATCGCCCACCATGGCAGCAGGGTGCGGGCCGGGCGGTCGGTGTTAGTCGGCGGCGGGCGAGGCGGCTTGGGAGTGGCTCCTTTAAGA